AATGCTGATGGAGTGTGCCTCACAGTTTCTGTCATAATATATAATATCGTACGGAATTATTGAAGAGCAATCGGAATGAATTACACACGAACTGATCGAGCGCGAGAATCGAGGATTAAGAACTTTTCATTGTAAAAGACGAAACTGAGTGTCAATTAGATTTTTACGTATTTACAGGAAATCGTGGAATCTACGTAGAAATTGCATATTATTGCAAAATATTGAAGATAAAGTGCATCGATTTTTAGTTAATTTAAATTTAAATTTATAACCTTTGAAGTATCTTTGAAATGACTGAAGTGCAATAATTTTTCTAATGTCTTTTGTAAGCGAAATAAATCTTATCGTTAAATTAATTCACGCTCGAACGTAACATTTCTGCGAAATGTATATAAAACAACACAGCAGGAAGTGTATTCGTTGTAATTTTCAATAGGTAATTTAAAATTTAAATTCTATTTCCACCTTTGTTGAAAGAATTTAATGAAACGGTGCCTGTGCCCTTCTGGCTCTCGTTCAATTCAATTGTTATTATGTAGAAGGTTCAATTCGATCAAATTGATTCTTAATTAGTTTCTAAATGGGAAAAAGTGATGAGAGGCAAAGCAGAACGCCACTTATATATATATTTCTACATATTTTTACCATTGTGTGAAACTTTTGATTAAAAACACGACGAAATTTGTAAAAATATTCTCTCCCTTGGAATCACAAAAATTACTAGATCATTACATATTAAACCAGATACAATTAAACCAGAAGTTCTTCAACCTCAGCAGATAAATCAATAAATAAATTTTTCCTCTCTGATGTTTTTAATGTCTATCATATGTGTTCAGAACGTGCGTGTAACAATTTTTTTATTTTACCGCAGTTTTCATCCATCTTGAATGTGCTAGATATTACTATACTTTTAATGTAATTAAACGCTATTCACGATATAATACGTTGATTGATACTAATGAATGAATTCATTTTGTTAATCGTGGTAAAATTTACGTGGTTGTCATTTCGAGATAAATAGCAATGAAAAATTTGACACAAGTTCTCAAGAAAACGATAAGATTTTTGGGTAATATATCGTAGATATTTTTTTTAAAAAAGTAAACTAGATTCGTAATATTTGAAAATTATTAATTAATATTAATGTATTGATCGTAATGTTAAAAAATATATAATATATTTTAAAAATATATAAATTAAATGTTAAATATTTAATCAATTTATAATATATATATGTTAATATTTAATATATTAATAATATTAAAAATAATTAAAATATCCAAACTTTCAATTCATAAATATTTTCAGATAATATTGTTACAGATTTTTACACCTTACCCAAATTTATATTCATTTCGACAAATAAAAGGACTTTCAATGTTTAGGTTAAGATTAAAATATGGAAGTACAGATTTTCCAATTCTATTTGAGAAACTAAAGAACTAAAGATGAAAGTGTTTTCTGTTACAGAAATAACTATAAAATAACCAATCACACACTGTCGATGATATAATCAATTTTTACAAGATGATATTACATAAAATGACAAATACAAAATATAATAAATAATACAATTATAATCTCAAAAATAATAAAGTAGAAAACATTTGAAAATCTTGAAAAATTTTTGTCAAATTCACCCGAAGTTAATCTCGCCTTCTCGCACGAGAGATGTGAATGTGATTCAAAATATATGTCTTAATCATCACCTGACCTTAATCACGAACTTTCAAGGAAAATTTCCAGGTCTCCCGTGCGAATTTTTTCATCGTTCTCTCTTCTTCTTCTTCTACTCTTTTTTTTTTTTTTTTTTTTTTTTTTTCTTCTTTCTTTTACCCCCTAATTGAACTTCTTGGACTCGTGTCTAGTTTCGCGACAAAGCCAGCTTAATTTTACTTTATTCTCCTAGCCGTGCTTTCCTATTAGCCACTTATGCCTTAACGATAGGAAAGTATCTAGAACGCGCGGATGACTTTCTTAGAAAGTTCCTCTTACCGAGGAGGCTGTCCCATCTTAAGATAGTTTTGCTTCCGGTACTCGAGCTACGTGCCGTCTCGAAAATACACGTGCAGAAATGAAGTACTCTTAACGTTTAAGCCACGCCTGTAAACGAACAAAATTTCCTCCTCGTGTATTCAGTAAAGGGAAAGCTTTCGTGTAATCGTTAAACTCTCTAACGTATTAACAGTTTGACGAATAATTTCAGAAATAACACTTGTAAATAATAAAATAATAACGTGATCCTGTGATTCCTACTTTTTGTCAAATATTTACAATTGACAATTTTTAGAGAGAACTTTTCATTGCTTAGTACTCTATACTAATTACTTAATAGTATAAAATTGCATAATTATTAATGAATCGCTAGTAATCTACAAATGTAGTCAATTTTTAAGTACTATTGTGATTTTTATGTAAAACAAAAACAATAGAATAAAAAGTAGGTCAGAATAGATTTTTCGAAAAATTCTTATTCGTTGGATTCTTATCAACTGATTCTCACTTTTAATTTAATTAAATCCCTAATTGACTCTCTCCGTTTATCCTTGCATATATCGTTCTCTTTCTCTCTCTCTCTCTCTCTTTTTTTGACATACTCGCTTCTAGTTATAAAATTGAAAATATTTGGATTTGTTGTGAAATTCTAAGGGTACACTTTATCATTCTCTATATTCAACCGGGCACTTCATATTCCTTGAGATATTCACGATGAAAGTTTCACTGCTGCGTTAAAATCCAGCTGCTGCCTCTTTAACGAAGCGGTGAAACTTCAATTACGAACATCACGAAAAGTATTGGATATATGACCAAGTAATACGATATTTTCGTAGGAAACGAAGCGATCAGATTTACTAATATTGCAATCACTATGCAATTAACATTATTATTAACTTAAACAACTATTATATAGTTGTAGTATTCGATTAAAATTTAAACTAATTTATTTAAACTAATATTTAATACATAATTTAAAAATATTTAAATTAGTTTAAAATATATAAATTATAAAATATATATATAAAAATATATATTTTATATATATTTAAAATATATTTAATATATATTTAATTAAATAAAATATATTAAATAAAATATATTTAATAAATTATATATACATATAAAATATTAAAATATTTTATTCAAGATAAAGATCAGAAGTAGTAATTTAATTTACATATTCCAAGGTTTAAGTTTCGCCCCATATAGCCTGTAAATGCCTGCCGCATCGACTTATAAAAATACGACAGACACCGGGCAGGAAGTATAAAGCACGTTTTAAAAACACGAATTTTCTCCCCAGGTATCCTCCCGTTGTATATTTCTTGTTCAAACGAGCAAGCATATTTTTTACCGTTATCCGCGATCAAGGGAATCATATTTCCGTAAACGGGGTTAACGGAAGGGTACATCAGAGTTTCAGAAAAATATTATTCACCTCTCGGGAATAAGTCTCTCGACGGTGTAAAACCGAGGGATGTTGAGGGCCCAGGACGCGGTTGCGTTATCGATCTCAATTTTGTCCGGACGTATCAGTTTCATACGGGAGGAGAATAGCTTGTTGCTCATGCTCCTATCGAATCCGTACATCGGCCTGTTAAAAGAAATTGTTTCTGGGAAACGATGTGTGTAACTGTCAGCTCGATTGCTCCGTTACGTTTATGGTTATCGAACGTACGCGTGAAATACACAATCGGATGTGTCTATTAAACTAGTCTTCTATTTAAACAAGTCATTCAGTCAACAATGACGAGTGCGAATTTTAATTATTGAAACAATTAAATAGGAGTTACTTCAATCTTACAGTCAGTTTATGTAAAGAAGATTTATACTGATTTAAGGAACGAAGTCAAAAATGTACCTTTTAAAAGAGTTCTCTCTCTCTCTTTTTTTTTTTTTATTTAGAATTATTTATACTACAAACTGTGAATTTCTGCGTCGAGAAATTTAATTTTTGTGATACTATGATGATTAGTAGCCTTTATGAATATTTCAGCAATCCTATAATTTACTATGAAATACGGAACACAACATGGATCTATGGTCTTCCGTATCAAACGAGAATATCAAATAACATCGCATAAAGAATGAGAGACGTTATCGTATCGTGAACATTTCGTTATTAACAAAACATTATCAAAATTATCTATTTGAAAAATATCTCCTAAGTGCTGTTTCTATTAGGCCAATTTGTAGGGTTTCGTTGCATACATCTTTCGTGAAGGAGGGTCTTTTTTTATGTTAGACAACATATTTCCCGAGATAAAACGTGCACGTTTTTTATAATGTTGGAATTAAATGTAAATTATTTACATTTTCGTAGAATATTATTCCTATTCGGGTTCTTATTATAATAGGAATTAAATAAAATTCTCCCTATAATAAGAGTAATAATATTTTTCAAGTACCTTTTCCAATTATTTCAATATTTTATATTAGTTTCTTTTTCATAGAAGATAATTTTTAAAAGCTTTTAATTTTTAAAAGATGTGAAATATTTTCACAATTTTATTTTTCATTCGAAGCATTGCCCCTCATCGAATTCTTTCAATTAAACAAACCTTTTAAAAAATTATAGAACACTTGAACATATTACACGTAAAAATTTTTAATTACTTATTATAGGCAATAGTAACCAATTATTAAAAAAAATAAAAACAGAATTATTTCTTTAATTTATTATTTTCCTTGAATTGATTATTGTCGTCAATCGCGTTTGCTTCGAAGTGTAAAAATACGTACAGTATACAGAAATGTGAAATGACATAAAGTATCCGAAGTATAAAAGCAAATTCAATGTAACTTTATATTACTGTAGTTTACTTTAATAGTTTAATAAATTATTGACTCGATTGAAGAAAGGATAATTGTTAAAATTACTGTGTGAGAAGGGAATTTTATTTATCGAGAACATTAGTTATTTAAAAAATGCAAGTGCAAATTCATAACATGATAAGTTTTTTTCAAACTAAGCACGAATAGTATAGGCGACTCCTTCATCAAAGCATATTTTGGAATAGAAAAGAATGTTCAAAACTTGCTGCTTTAATTCTGAAATCTGCCTGGACGAAAACTCTTCTTGCATTTGATATTTTGTGCATCTTAGTCCAGCGGGAATTGAGTTTTAATGTCTTTGAATTTAAACTCGAATTTAAATTCCTCAAGATATTACCATTGCCTCAAGATAGTTGTAAATTTTACTGCAGCGAAAAGTCGAAAGATATTCAATTTAAACTTTAACATCTAATTTTACAATAACTTCTACAAATATAATTTCGATTTCACTCAAATCTGATATTTCGATCGTT